ATATATATATAAATGAATTTCACTTTCAACTTAGGTCTCATCCCGAAGATAGCTCATTATATTACAAAATTTAAAAATAAATCCAAATTTTAAACACTTCCGATCCCAAGCATTTCAGACGAGGGATACTCCACCTGTATACATTTTAAGCAACAGGGAATTGCTCAAAGATGTGTGAAGGCTAGCAGGTTTCATATTCTGGCCAGCAGGGCAAGCTCTACATATTGAGCTGAGCTGGTCCTGGCGAAAATCATTAAGGTTCTTAGATATTCATGACATCTCTAGGCATATGCACATGTGTGTCACTGCCTCAGTTCACCAGACTTTCAGTTTGAGGGTTTGGATCTCTTTAAGAATGTGCAATAGGTAAGTTTATTCATTTCTTTCCTAGGTGGTGGTGGTCTTAGAATGAATGAAAAGGAAAGCAGCTTTCCTTGCATCTGTGACTGGGAACTTACACAGGCCCAGAGAGGAAAGCCAAGTGTTAGAAGAGGGAAGCAATAAAATGCATCTCAGATCCCACTCCAGAGAAACAGATTCAGCCACATAATCTTCACCCCAGTATGCACAAGTTTCCATTTGGTTTCTCAGGATGAAGTCAAAGCTCCCTGGGAGCTGCACTGACCTCTTTATGACAGATTGTGCAGAGAGTCTGCAGGTTGTCCAGGGAGCACTGTCCCCCTCCCCCGTACACTGGCTTGATGTGATCCACCTGCCAGAAATGTCCTTCTGCTGGGTTTCTTATCATTTCATTGAGCTGCAATAAGAACACAAGATCAGCAATTTTCAACACGCTGCGGGAACTGTTGGTTCTGCATTGTGCAATCATGTTTATGCTGCAAAATCATGGGGAAAATACATTAGGATGGCTTTTTATAGCTTTTATTGTGAGTAGAAAAAAGCCCTCTAGGTTAGCAATTTGAAAGCAATAAAATGTGATTCTGAAAGTTTTTTTTCCCCATACCTAACCCATTTTGAAAAAATTACAAGCAAGTATAAAATATCAAGACTCTTGACAGATTGGGAAAAATTAGTTGTTTCTTCTCCTTTGAGTTAGTTTATATATTCACTAAACCAAAACTGAGGAAAAAAAAAAAGAACAGATTGGAAATTTAAAACTTGTCAATATTACTGACCCAAATAATCTTCGATTGTTGACCTAAATGCATTCGTGATGATATCAATGGCAGTTTGATATTAATAGCTGTTACCTGGCACTTTTAATCTATTCATCAGAGAATTTTCTAAGTTACATGAGCTGGGATGAAATTTCTAAAGCGAGTACTTGCAATATTTGGAATAAACAAAACTGTCCATGTAAAACAGCCGCTATTTAGGCCAGTCCATACAAACACAATTTATATTTAAACTACATTAAAATGTGATGTACCTTAACATATTGCCTTAATTAACAATTCACACTGTGGCAGTGCAATTGTTTAAATATCACAAAGATAAATATGACAGTTGTTTTTATTTCCTTGGTCTCAAATGAGGAAGAAATTATAAGCAACCTCATGGCTGCTGGCCATGGAACTTCAATTATGTCTAAAGCATCTTTAAGAAAGTCCATTGGACCCTTGGGCAGCGCAGTGACCTGATCAATAACAGTCCTGGCCCTCAAGGAGCAACCGGAGGCAGCAAGCCGGAGGAGGGCACTGCTCGGCTGACCTTCCTTACGGCCTGCCTAGCGTTCTCCTTTGTGCCGATCTTCCCAGCTTCAGATAGAAGACATATATTGGATTTTTTTTTAGAGGTTGGTGTTGTTAGAAGCAACTACAAATGGCAATCTTGTGCATCAAGCAAGTGGTGTATTCTTAGGAAAAAATCTGTTTGGGATCTGCCTTTTGTAACCAATTCTTTCCCCCTGAGCAGGCTCTACTCTGATAGACTCACTGATCCAGAAGGTGCTTCTTTATTCTTCCCTAGCAAAACACTCGGGGTCACTCTTCAATATCCTCAATTCACTTCTTGAAAGAATCATTCTCTGACTGGTCCTCCCAGCCTGAGCCGGTGGCTCTCCCTGTGCGCAGAGCACATTCATTGTGGATGTCTGCTGTGTTCGGCTGAATTCCTGCACAGGCTGATTT